CCCACCCTCATCTCCCCCATCCTACCCTCATCTTCCCCATCCAACCCTCATCTCCCCCATCAGACTCTTATCTCCCCAATCCCACCCTCATCTCCCCCATCCCACCCTCATCTCCCCCATCCCACCCTCATCTCCCCCATCCCCCCCACACACAGACGTACAAACCCATCCCCATGCTCACTATTCTGACCAACATTGATAACAACCTGTTTTCTTTTAGGCCAATGCCTGACATTACATGGCAGAAAGGTACATTGAATAAAGGTACTCGAAATCTGGTGAATGGTCCAAAATATGTGATGTCAAACTTCAATAAAAGACTGACGATAAAAAATCTAAATACAGCAGACAATGGCAATTATGTGTGCACCATTAGCAGGGCAGCAAACTCCAAGATTCATCAAGCTACTCTCACTGTTATTGGTAAGCACAAAGCCAAAGCTTGGGATTGATAGGGATGCAAACGCCTGAAAAATACACTTTGATATTTTGAGCGAAGCCTTCACTGACTTCCCGACCAAGGGTCTTGACTTGGAACGTCGAAGTTCTCCTTGTATTTTTCAGGCAATTGTACACTTATCAATACGTGCACAGACTGCTAGAGATTATTTTTAATATATCGTTTTGTAACAAGGTTGATTCCATTTTTTTCTATTTTAGAAACTCCGGTTATCAAAGACTTATATCCAGCAAACCAAGTACGTCACATTGGCAATTTTACCATTCTAACTTGCATGGTCACTGGGACATTCAGCAATGCCAGGTTCTCTGTCAACTGGTACAGAAATGGTGTCAGACTGTCACAGAGCTCAAGGATCACTATGAGATACAGGACACACGGGGGTTATAGGAATTATACCCTCAATGTGACCAAGTTGAATAAAGATGTAGACAGTGGAATGTATCAATGTTTTGCCAAGAATGATGGTGGGGAAGACATGGCTTATACCGCGGTCAATGTTCAGAGTAAGAGTGCACAGATTTATATAAATAGGTTGTCATCGTCTGAGCTACTATGAAAACAATATTCAGTGTATTAGGTAGTATTCTACAATAAGCTGCTGTGGTTTGTGTCTGAACTACCTGAAAGAGATATCTCAAACGTGGTGGTCCAGTGTACGTATTATTCCACACTAAGCTGCCGTGATTTGTGTCTGAACTACCTGAAAAGATATCTCAAACGTGGTGGTCCAGTGTAGGTAGTATTCCACACTAAGCTGCCGTGCAGTGCCTTTTTAACTATATATCTGGGGGGGGGGCAATTGCCC